AGGGCTTTGACGATTCATTCGTTTCTTTAGGATTTCTGTGGGAGCACACACTCTGGTGGTGCTGGCTGGTGCGGTGCATTCTTCATTTCTCATACGCAAGTTATGAGCTTGCGAGATGGAGCTCAGAGTACTAAGTATTGACCCTAGTGTACTAAAGTCGTGTCGTCTGAAGTAACTTGTTGACAGTCTCTTCATTTTCCTACGATCCTTAGGCTTTATGAATGTCTTTCTATGTGGCAAAACTTTAGTGTTTGAAGTGGGATGACAGCATCTAAGCATGTGTTGGAGTTATAGTAAAAGATGTCTAGAGCTTTCGAGAGGCTATCAGTATAGAAGTACTCACTCCATTCTGAGGATCTTAGCATTGATTTTACTAGGGTCCAGTCTGCCTTACTGTAGTTCCTGTAAGTTATTTGTTGTGAAGTAGGGGTATGGGCTGCATTGCTACTTGACGGAAGTGGCAGTGCACACAGAACTGTTTTGTGGTCACTCCCTGAAAACTCAGAACCTACTAGGGTAGAAAGGGGACTTATATTGTGGCAGAAGATTAAGTCTAGTACGTTATTACCTCTTGTAGGGGTTGTGACAGTCTGTTTCCAGCCAAGTATATCCAGTGTGCCTGAGAACTTATCAAATTTAGTTGGGCCTGTGGGTATATCCCAGTTGATTTCTGGTAAGTTAAAGTCTCCACATAGGATCTTATGATCGTAGTGTAGGGTGGATAATTGTTCCAGAGTATTAATAAGTTGGGTCTCGTAATTACTAAAGGTACCACGTGCTCTGTAGGTGCATCCAATTAATACCATTGCGTTGTTTAAGTGTAAGTTAACCCATAGAGTCTCAGACATGTTAAGTGTAGTACTTTCTAGCTGTGATACTGTAAGTGCAATCAGAAAGTACATGAGGCAACCCCCTCCCTTACCACCTTCCCTGTCACACCGAAAGTGTGTGTAGTTATCTAAGCTTATCTCTTCATCCAGTATGTTCGAGTTACACCAGGATTCAGTGATGACAATTATAGGGGGTTTGTATATTACTGTGAGTGCTCTGAGCATCGATAGTTTATTTAGAACAGATCTAGCATTTATGAGTACCAGATAAAGATGAGATTTGAAATAGCATTTGAAGTATTTAAGTTCGTTAATCAGCCCCGAATATGGTTCAGCACCCAGTTGTACTGTTTCACATGACGACCCTATATTAAGAGGAGTTTCAACACCATGCTCATCTATGTCTATCGAGTTGGTGTGTGCTGTTTTCAGTGAAGAAGTAAGCGTTGGAGTACTGGATTTGCTATAGGCTGAGGCATTTTTAGATTTAGTTAATCTGGAAACGTGGGTAGGGATCTTTATTTGACCTAAACTTGTGCACGTATCAAGTGTGCTTAGTGGATGCGGGTGCACTAGACTGTTCCTGTATTCATGCGAGGGGGAAGCCAGCACTAGTGGTTTAGAAGTGTTAACATCCCTACCAGCTGTTGTTTCCACGCTGACAGGGACGCAGGGGATAAAAAATGATTGGGACCTTGTGAAGACCATGGTTTATAATTCCACCTATTGCTAGGTACTAGTTGTGTCCTTGTATGGGTTTCGTGTGTACTGCTTTGTGAGTTAGTTCCCAGCAAACTTGTACCATATATCCGATCAAAATTTATTTGTGTGCCATACTGTGAATACCCTGAGTTGTTGGTGGTCGAGTTCTGACTATTGCCACTTGTACTATTGAGGATGGCACTGTTGTGACGTAGGTTATCAGTGTGTGTCATGGTGCTATTTCGCACGTTGTGGGTGCTAATACTATTGACCCTGGGGAGTGTGGGCTTATTTATACTGCCATTGTTGTTGTTGGCATGATTTGGGGTCATATTTTCCTTTATTTTACCAATGGACTTATGGCTATGAGAGGACAGGGTCGAATTTCGGGGACTTTGACTTTTTTCTGGGATTATTTAGTGACATGCCTATATCTACGGTCATAGGTGGTATGGTTTTATTAGCTATTCGATTACAATCTTGTGGCCTTTCGGTTGGTGTCGCTCTCTGAGAGGATAATTCTGTGTGGTTTGAGAGGGGTGGTGCGGTGGGTTCTACGGTATCTCTCAAAGGGTTGGGTATAATTGCTGCTTGCAATGTCCTATTATTTATTCCACAATTAGGCTTAGTGAGATAATTGTATGCGCGCCTTTCTATGACTGTTTTGACCACTGTAACCTTTGTTAGTTTGTAGTTTCTGGCTTGCGATAGGGTGTGTTGGGAGTGGATGAATTTTCTGACCTCTGCCGGTGTTTCGAACTGAAAACGAATAGGACAACACTTTTCATGTTGACTCCTCTTCAGCCTGTGGCACTTAGTCTTGGAGTTGGGCATTTTCGCCTCACTAAGTAAGAGGCGCTGTACCCTTTTCAGTGCTTCATTGTCCGGAACGTTGTGGACAATAGCATTTAGTTTAGCGTCGAGTCGTTTTGTTACTTCTGTAGTAACAAAGTTAATGAGGTTATCTACCTTAGATACCGATTCTGTGTCTAGTTTGTTAAGGTCTACAGTTTTCATGAGGATAGTTAAAGGTGTTAGTTCACAGACCTGCGATCTGATATCGTTGATCTGATCTGATAATTTGGATATTTTGGTATTGGTTTCAGAAATTCTAGGATTTACTGACTTATCGTTTTTTATTTCCCTTAACTCGGCCTTAAGTTCTCCTATAGACAACTTAAGAAGTTCTATTTCTGAAGATAGTACTGAAACAGAGCTTGGAGGCTGGAGTTTTTCGATCAGCACATAAGGTGTAGAGAGGGTTTCTGTATGAGCAGAGGGTACTGAATTTTCAGGAGTAGTGCTAATACTAGCTGTCAGTACAGTTTTATCCCCAGTTTCAGCTCGACGCTTACGACATACAAGTGAGTTATGCGGCTCACTATAACCGTTTGTAGGGAGTGTGTTGCTTGATGTAGCAATCAAGGACGTAAAATTAGTCATCAGTTTAACAGGGGATTGAGTTCGTTGCTTTTTACTTTGATTAACCATAACTATTTGCTACAAGAGTTAATGGTTACAGGTATGGAGGAGGTAGAGTACTTGTGCAAGGATTACAACAAGATAAATTTTATCTAACGAAACACGCAAAATGTAACGCAAACGTTGAACGTACCGCTGCATCGCAGAGACTAACTTCTATCCCAAGTTTTGAGACTCCAAGGCTTAACCGAAGTTCGTGTGAATTGGTTATGGTCGTACGGGATTACACTTAACTATACTTGCAAGTTCTCACCTCAGGAAGTACCGGTCTAGTGTGCCGTACTCCCACCGCGAGCATGATAAGTCCAAGACAAGAAAGTTTATGGGAAAGTTTATTTTTATCCCGATACAAAATAAGCTGATATACATACTTATTATATATAGAAAACGTCCTATTCCTTCAACCGCTACTCCTGCATAATCCGCTGGAATCCTGTCTCCAAACTTCTCTGGGATTTTTTCCATGTAAACATGGATAAGCCTGGTGCTCGTGAGGTATTCCTCACATGGTTTATTTGAGGCGACTGCCAACGTGCTTGGAGGTGCGTATGAATCACTTGACCATATCAAATGTTGACACTTTTGTAGTATATGATTAACTACGAATGGTAATATAGTTAACGTAAATATGATAAAAACAATGTGCTTTTAGTTCCAAATCAGTACTAATGTTACCATATGGAATCTTCAACATTTCGTATAGTATTGCATCTAATTTTATCGAATAACATAAAAAGCAATTGAAAAGACAACACAGGATTGTTAGTGACAGTTCTTGTTTGGTATTTGTAGTTACAGTGAAGTCATATGCGCAGATATACAAAAAATATACATATATATGTATATATATAGAGAGAAAGAAGGTCAGGGTCAACTCGAACCTCTCATCCTAGACAACAGTGCGTAGTGGAGTGCCACAAGGCACGGTACTGGGACCTCTCCTATTTATTTTATACATCAATGAGTTATCTTCGCTCACTGATTCCCCTATGGTCCTATACGCAGACGGCTTAAAAATCTGGAGAGAGCTAAAGAAGGAGAGTGATACGCTGAGGCTGCAAGGAGACCTCAACAAACTGTTAGAGTTGTCCATAGAATGGATTCTTCACATCAATGTAGAGAAATATGCTACCATGCGCATTGGACACGCAAGCATAAGCCCCTACGAATTAGAGGGAATAAAACTTTCATCAGTTCAGACTCATTTGGATTTAGGTGTTGTAGTAAGTCATGACTTAAAAACTACAGCACACTGTTGTGAGGTGGTTGCACGTAGTTTCAGATCCTTATGGGCAACTCCCAGATGTTTCACCAAAGAAATGTTCACCTCCTCATATGCATATCTGTGTGATCAAAGCTGTAAAACTGTATCCAGAGAGCCAATCCTTGCCTTGCAGGGCACTCACATATTCTAGAAAGCATCCAAACGTGTGATTCCTGGCATGACTAACCTATCACATAAGGAAAGACAAAACAAGTCTCTTCTCCCTATCATACCGTCGGCACAAAGGAGATTCAATTACAATGTTTAAAGTTTTAAATAATGACTACTGGCCTGATCTATCCTCTCTTTTCCGTCACAACAGGTTGGAGTACCTCAAAGGAAATAGAAGGAGGGTTCAAAAGACAAGGAGAAACTATATCGCTCTGGAGTACTGGTTCTAACAAAGGGTCATAAACTGCTTCTACCGACTCCTAGAAGAAGTAGTGCCTGCAATCTCAACTGATTCACTCAATAAGGGTTTGAACAAACACATAAATATACTAGAAAATGATTAATACAGGCTCATAGCCTGAATGCACCCTTCTAATTGCATTTAGTAATAATGTGTTTCTTAGGGATATCAGAAGCCTACTCTTCTACTGTTTATTGTAGAGGGTGAGTTGTCCAAGCCATATTTACGGATTTTATTTTTAACATGCATCAGTGCTATTCACTAAAAAAGTGTTTTACTGTATTGAAGTTTCTATTTTTTAAGTTCATCGGTTTCATTGTTCACGCGACGTTTTGAATTTGACTTATAGCTGCGTGCTGTTGTAGCGTGCTGGGTTTCATAATACGCAATAGTTATGCAAATCAATGGATGTATGGGAAGCAGTCTGTCGGATATATTTCCTTCTATTCCTAGCCAAGACCCTAACGGTGGCTTAATGCCTGTTCCAGCTATACATGTCAACGGACCAAACATTAACAATAGTGATTCTATGTCTCGGCTACAATATCTTGGCTTAAGTTTGCTGCAAAACGGTCAAAATGGAAATGGTGGCGCATTTTTCAATGAGGACCGCTCGCGTACCAATCTGATTATCAATTACCTTCCTCAAAGTTTCGACCAAAATGATTTGCAACGTCTTTTTGAACGTGTTGGCCCTATAAGACAATGCAAGCTTATAAGGGATAAGGTAGTAATTTTGCTAACTTTATATGTGGTTTAGGAGTCGGGCGCTAGTTTATGCTACGGATTCGTGGATTTCGTCAACCCTCAGCACGCAGCCTTGGCTATACAAACATATCACGGCTATGAGTGTGACCGAAAGCGTTTACGAGTGGCATACGCCAGCTCAGGTGGGCGGCGAATTATTCCAGGTGAGTAACTTAACATCATTTTATGTCATAGGAAATCGCCCTCAAAAATTTTCTAATGTAAGCGACGTTCAGGGCACTCCGAATGTTGAAGTTACTAATGAAAATATAATTGGTTGGGAAGTACTAGTTACTGGAACACCTATAGAGTGGACTAAACCAGAATTACTTGTAAGCTAGCCATACTGTTCAACCAAAATTTCAGCGTTTGTTTTCGAACTTTGGAGCTCTTATAGACGTGCTGCCGCTGACTCCTCGGCTACCTGACTCTCCGCCTGGTCAGAAGCCAGGCTTCAGTCCACCTTCGAATGGGACTTCTAGTGACGTGAGCTCCGAGTCTCCAGATGGCAAACATGCATCAGGTGCACGTGTCATTTTCCAGGAAAAAGAAAGGTAGGTTCATGTGTACACTTAGTCACGTTTTCTAGTGCGGAAATTTCGGTCTTGCGTTTGAATGGTTATCAGGCTCCAGATTGGTGCTCATCTCTCAACCTGAGATTAATTGGTCCAGTAACTCGGGAAATGTGTGGTCACTTCTATTCTTCACGTCAATCTCCACCCTATACATTTGGGCGTATGCTAAACAGCCAAAGTATTGCTGATCCTTTGACTGAATCGGATATATTTACAAACGTGCTGAATAGACGAGTTTTAAACACACCGAACTGTGCAGTTCATGGTAATCCTCAAAGCCACTTTGTAACAGATGCGAAGAGTTCTGAAGTTCTACCGGTCGCACCGGAGGGTAACAATCTACATCTCCAATCAAATTCAGTCTTCAATATTCCTCCTCGAGCAGTCATGCGAAACAAAGGTGAGTGTGTGCCGCTACATATGTTCAACTATTCACTGTTGGGAACCATTTCTCGCCTTGTAGTTTCCTTAGTTTTAATATTTTCTAGTATGTAGGATCATGAAGTACTTACCGATTTTATTCAGATTCAGATAATAGAGATAATAGGCTCTTGTGGCCTGTGTTTTTAATTATGGAGGATGTCGTACACTGCTACTTTAAGTCAGTATTATTTTCAGGTAGCTTTCCGCTGTGCATTGCAAATAATACATTGTGCATATGGTTGAAAGTTAACTGCTGGAATACGCTTTTTTTAAGGCCATCGATTCTGAACTAGAGATTTAATTGTAGAGAATGAGACTAGACAAGTAGTATGCCAACTTATGCAGAATTATGATCAAAACTAACGGCACTCAGATATTTTGTCTCAAATTTGGGCGACAGCATAAGAAATTGCTTGAGTTCACCTCACCGCATTTGTCTTATCAGTCTTATCACCTCAGTGCATCTGAAGGGTTATGATGGGTAGAATAGGCGTTCTTAGCAAACGAACTGATTGAGACCATGCATGATCTTGTTGGGGTTACATAGTCGTAATTTGCATGCCCCGGTGAAAAGGTTTCGAGGTGAGTTTGTTTTTACTAGGAAGCAAACTGGTTGCAAGATAATATTCTCATCATTGAACACATCGTATGCATAATCGGTCTTCTCAGGAGTAGTCTACATCAGCCTATGAAGAGTAACGAGTGCAGTATTTGAATTTGTTGATCAACTTAATGGACTGGATGCGGACGAAATTTCACCACAAAATGGATGACTGGTCCGGTATTTACTAACGGGTGCGCTATCCGGATGCCCATCAAAAACTGTACTTTACAGCCAATAATTTATATTCAACCTGTGTTGACGCGGTCGATTGGCTACACTTAAAGGTCATTACCAATAGCTTTCCGAAGTTAATCATGTAGATTTGTGTGGACTGTTTCCGTCATCCTATGTGGTAGATTGTCTAGCTTAACTTCATTGGAGTTATAATTGAGTTTCTGCTAATTGAATGAACACTGTCAAGATGATTCAGTGATACTAAATACCGAAGTTTGCAAGGTGTTAAGTTGCTTCAAGTCAGATTAGGGATTAGAGCCATTAGTATTTAAGTGCTGCATATACACCATGGCCCAACTAGTGTTGCATGTCTGTACTCAAGTTAGGTCACATTTACTTTTTCCTTAATCAGGTTGTCGAGGCACTATCTAATGATTTTAAAACCCTCTTTAACTAGTTTTGAGTTGTGGTTATTTGAATTTTGATTTCCGTAGTGAGTGACCCAACATCAACTTCAATCTTCAACCAGGATGTTCTTTCTCATACTGGTTCGTTAGGCATCCTCGATTTTCTTGACAGTCACCAAAATGCAAATTCGACAAGTGGGACTGACCGATGTACATCTAGAGATGTCTCCGTAATCAACACATTGAACTCTGAACGCGTTGCCGACAGTGAACAACCGAAGCTGCAGAATTCGCTGAAGAACTTGACAAGTGCTCAAAATCACTCTTCATGGCCATTCGTCCAGCATCGGTCTACCTTAACTGCACTGTCTGAAAACGGGCGGTCTAACGAAATGAACAAAGGTACTCCAACAGCTGGGGGTTACAGACGTTTGTCTGTAAAGTCTCCTCTGATAGAGAGTCCAATTTTATCTAGCCTACTAGCTCAAGAAAATTCCCAGGCAAACATATGGCTTAAGCTAGAAAATATTCAGCCGACAGGGTCATTCGAGATTCGTGGTGTTGAAAATGTGATTTGCAAGGTAAGTTTTCATCTGTCTGTATTTACTGTCTTTAAATAAGCTTATCAAGCTATATTGTTTCCAAGTCGATTACACTCAAGGAAACGGGTTCCGGTAAGCTGATCTCTGTATTCAATGGTACACAATATGTGCATTCCAGATATTGTACCCAGACACCGAAGGATGTCAGTGTTCGTTCCTTTAGTAATGCTTCTCAATTTCCGGGTCATCCCGTTTGCTTATTTAACTTTTCAGCTGTTGAACGGCGGATTAATCTTTCAAACAAAGGGTATAAAGCTTGGTCTGGAATGTTCTTTTATGTAAATTTTTACTCAGTACAGCACTCGTTCTGATAAATTTAAGTCAACACTCATCCGAGTTAAACTGGACTGATGATGGAACCTTTAAGGTTTCTCGTTAGGAGTTAGCTTAAGCGATGTGTTTTTCCTGCTCGCAAACCTTTGAGGTACCCTTTATAGTGTCCCAGATTCTTAACATGTTGGTAATTTCTTTCAATTACCGGTGTTTCCCGGTATTAGGAAAGTTTAATGCTGCATTTGTGTGTAATATCAAGTTAATGATCCAGTTATATATCATGAAGTTCTTTTTCATTTCAGTGGGCAGCTTCGGGAGTCAACCATATTGTTTGCCCGACTACTGGAAGCTTAGCGGTTGCCGTATGTTTTGTCGCTCATGCGTACATGCTTAACTGTACTCTTGTAGTACCTGAGGCTCATGAGTTAACCATAAGGCGGCGTTTAGCACTTGTAGCTCAAGATGCTAAAATTGTTGTGGTTAGTGGCGGTTTTCAAGAGGCTCATCACTGTGCCGATCAAATGGTCAAGGAAATGCAATCAGCACCTGATTCCAATAGTCGTCTTCTTCATCCGTATGAACAGCCTGGACTCTGGGAAGGATATGAATATATTGTTGATGAGATTTTTTCGGAGATTGGTCAACCAGATGCAATAGTTATTGCTGTTGGTGATGGAGGGTTGTTAGCAGGCATTATTCAAGTAAGCCACTACATTTTTCAACTTTGTTTGGATTTTTCTGCTCATGCCCGTGCACTTCAGACTAAGCTAACAAACTTTTCATTCTAACATCCAAAATGTTAACTGATAATTGGGTAAATAAGTAACGAAGTGATACAGCGTAATGTTGTTTCATTTCATGCTTATCTACGTTGCGTATACAAGGAACTATCACTGGCATAGACGAAAAAAGAAAGCTTCAGTTTCCATAAGCGCTACTTTGGTTTTGCTGCATTGTAAACAGTATACTGATCGAAATAATTCCCTTTTTATATGTTATAGTTTCCTTCGAATCGGAAACTTTTTCTGTCAGTGTTAATAAATGTTCCCAAATTTCCTTTTTTACGCCATAAGGCTTTGTGGAACAAGAAATGGTCTTCAACGCACATCATAACTGTCGAAAATGAAGGAAATGATTACCTAAATCGCTCATTAAAATCTGGCCAGTTGGCGGTTTCAAAGAGCTCTTCATTTGCAGCTTCCATAAGCTCCCCTGTCTTCACACCACGGGCGTTACAGTTAGCTCAGTGTCAACAGATCAGTGCGATTACCTGTACAGACGTGGAAGCTATCAATGGAGTTAAGCGTTTTCTGGGTAAGTACTTACTAACTTAAACCACGCGTTTTTTGAGAGAGATTTTACACTTCATTTCCTGAAACTGAATGCTTAACATGTAATTTTTAACCCACCATTTCAATTGTGCAAAACATTGGTTATGGTCCACTAAGTTGTTTAAGGTTAACATTAGTATATAAATAGCTGCAAGTCTACGTAAATGTCATGACCAAACTGTATTTACACTTAGCAAATTCGATATCTTCAATGTTCCTTCAAATTGTTTATAGTTGAGGTTACCAAGAGTTAAGCTGGTTTAAATAAAGCATATTCCATTGTAGTACCGTATCTGTCCTCGTTTGAAGTTCGAACTGAAATTTTGATGCAAATTTAGGGACATCTGCGCGTGGTTAAATGTTTAAATAAGCCTTTTAAATATTGTTGTGAATAGAAAAGTATAAATGAAATTTCAAAATTACATAGGCTTGTTTTTCGGCACAGGTGTGTGTAGCTTGTCTTGACACATGATCAAACATTTACAGTCTCGTGGAGTCGAATGGTTTAAATTTTGTGTGAACTGATTTGGTAGCATTCGATTACTCCTGAATATCTGTTTTGCCCCTGCAGCTTTAGGACCACGTGAATGCAGTGAGTAAAAGTAGCGTGGATTATTTCCAGTATCTATTACTATAAGCTATGCATATGACAAGCAGGAAATCCCATCGGTGACTAACTGGTTATTTACTGTTACTGAATAAACTTGTTAGTTTTAGGAAATCGTTCTTCGAGAATCGTATGCATTCGAACGCTTTTTTCGCCTGCTAACTAGGGTTTCCAGACTCGATACCTTTTCTGTAACGAATTATTAACTCCATAATGCATTAGCACGTATAAAGAAAGAATTTGCTTTTACCTTTTAGATGATCATGGTATGCTTGTTGATCCGGCTTGTGGAGCTGCCCTTTCGTCCGTGTATTCGGGCTATTTGTCCCGTTTACAATTTGAGGGTCGCCTGCCGCGAACACCTTATGTTGTCATAATTGTCGAAGGAGGGAAAGGCTTTTCTTTACGCCAATTGATTGATTTGGAAAACCAGATGGCCCCATTCGCTCCCCAACAAATCGCTGCATCTGTGTTACCACCCACATCTAGCTCGTACATTACCCATCTATCTCCATACCCAACATCTCAAGAAATTGATAAATCCACAGCAACGATCCACAACAAATCAATGTCAAACCATATGGCAAGAAAAGGAAGTACACCGACACCGAGTACACCGCGCTCTGTGTGTAATACAGTTAGCAGGATACCGACCTCTAGACCTGATTCTGATCAACAAGCGTCAGATTGCAATGGTGGAGAAACCGAAGCAGGCTCAGAATGCGCTAGCACGTTGAATCCACACGATTTGGTGAATTTTTCCAAGCTTTTAGCTTCCTCTGAAGCTAAAGGTGGGGAGACGAGTCTTCGCGAATCGTAGTCTATAGATTAATCAACGTTGATTATGCTTTATTTTTATTTCTATATTTTTTGATAAAAACAGTTATGAATGTTTTTACAGTTCTATTTAAGTTTAGGTTATCTTAAACATACTTTATTTTGGCTGTTTAGTCAGTCAATCTGTTCTTTCGTTCGGAATATTTTAGCGATCCTAACAACCGCATATAATGATTATTATTGATTTACCTCATCATTTGTTTATTAGATTTCATATTTTCTCTATTTTATTTTATCAGTCTGTTAGTTAGATATTTGTTTTATTTATCTTTATTAGTTTCGAGTTGGTATGTTATCTAGTTTCGTTTTTTAATTTGAGGTAATCTCTTTAACACTACTTTGTTAGTGTTAAGTCATGTAAACACCGTCATAATTTCATCTTTTGCTAAAGTTGTTATCCTAGTTTCACCCAGGATATTGAATATGTCTGTTGTGCCTTACACAGGTGTATCATTCTTTACTGCTAGACTATTAGTCTGCATTTATGCAGTTTGATTTTCATTTTTATTTCCTATCCCAAAAATTACTTTTCCATCATGACGGAATGACGTGTCAGTTGTTGGTTGTAATATTATCTATCCGGTATGAATTAAATTGCAAACCTGAACATTACTGATTTAAATTTTATATTGACTTAGGTATTTACCTACCTCGCTTGATTTCATGTGTTTTCACCAACTAATCTTGTTCTTTTTACTCAATATTATTTTTCTGTGGTTGAAGCATCAATTCTCTCAATCCAGTCATTCCATATGTGCTTCTCTCCCAGTTTATTTTGCAAACTGACACAAGTTGATTTGTGTGTAACACTCCTCCTCCTTGGAAGGATGTACACAGTCGCATTTGTTTTGTTTTTTTAACTGTTTTCTCATGTTACTTATCATTATTATACCATATAATTATGTAGCACTTGTGCCTTTCTTTTTTATATTCATTGTTTGTGTTTTCATTATTATTTTCAAGCAAGCAGTATTACTTTCTAATCTGATATGATACCAGATTTTTGAATTTATTTATTATATTGAATTTTTTCTCATATATCAATTTACAATTATGAATGTTTTTTTTGCTTGTTGTTTTTTCTTTTGTAGTCTGTTTTAATTGCCATTTATTTAAAATGATTGCTTTACATTGTTTTCTTATTTTCATTGCATATATTTGTGTGTTGCAGTTATCGTCTTTTTCCTTTTGAAACATCTCCCTATGGTATTCTTATTTTGTCACATTGTCAGAACACTTCCGTAGTTCTATAATAAGCATATGGATTTCAACAATTGCGATCAAATCGAGACTCAAGATTTCACCCTAAATCTAGCATTTACGGAGCAGTCACATTACGATGCATAAGAGATGTAATTGTCAAAAAACTTCGAGTGATCTTTATTAAAAGAGATGATAAGATACTCTAGGCCTCGATCCACTATAAATATACAGCAAATGCAGTCTGGTTATCATCAGCTACTGAAACTCGCAAATAATCAGGGTGAAGAAAAATAATAGCTGTTGGTCTTAACACACGTAATTTAAAATATCCATTTTATTTAGGCACTATGCGTTACAGATCCTGTGGTGATTTCAAGGTGGGCGACTATGCGTAGTACTGAAGATTGTCGCATAACGTTCGTACGAAAATATGTATTGTATTCAGTATATTCATGTCCGTATGATAAGTACTCTATGGGTATATTGCATGTTTTCTAACTTCCAAAAGACCTCGAAGCTCTCCTTATCATCAACTTACCGGCGTCCAATAATCATCGCATTTCTTGATCTGAAAGCGACATTCGATTCTGTCGACCGAGAGGTACTAAGGGATGTTTGGTTATGAAGCGAATGCCTAGGAAATACATCGGACTGATCAAGGCACTCTACTCGAACTCGTGCGGCCAGGTAAGAGCCTACAGAGAGTTGTTATTTGCAGGGATGAAACAAGTGGTGTCTATCAGGGTTGTCCACCATCCCCGTTTCTGTTTAATTCCATCATAGATGTACTAATGGAATTGACTATAATTAACTCTAGCGACTTAGGTCTTGACTTGTTACCAGGATACAGTCTTCGTTTATTGTAAGCGGACGCTATTATCCTCTTTGGTGAAGACACTTACAAAATACAATCTCATGAATACCCTGATAAGAAATCTTGGAATCTTCGGTATGCAAATCGCTTCTGTCAAATGTAAGGCGAAGCAGCATGACTGGTTTGAACTGACTTCTAAGGTAAAAACAGTGAAGTGGTAGAGAGTGTTGACATGATATCCGGCCACCATCAAAGCACTCACTTTGAATGTTTGGCACGCGATTCGCTCCTGTCAAATGTAAGGTGATGCTACAGGCTGGGCTACATCGACTTGTAGCTTAATAATAGGGAGTGAAGTGGTGGAGCGTGTTGACCACTTCACTTATTTGGGAAGTTGCATCAGCCAACGCCAGTGGGTTGATCGCTGATGAAATCTCAACACGGATACAGAGGGCTCATTTGACATTTGCCAAATTACGTCATCTCTGGTGTAGGCGTGATATCCGGCTGTTTATCAAAGGATGTCCGCACTACTCAGTATTCCACCTCGTCCTCCTTTATGGTAGTAAGACATGAAAAGGCTAGGTGGCATAATAGGGTGAGTAATATTGAGTTTATACGTCGAGTGCTAGGTACGGAGAGTAAATCAATCGACGACGTTGTAAAGTTAAGTTGACTGAGCTGTCATTCCTAGTTGTCACCTTCACTAAGCAATTGTCGTCGACCGAGGAATAGATCGGGGAGGAGTTAGAAATAGGCAAATCGAACCTGGCGTTAGCTGATTGAATTTTCGACTGTAGGTTTTAGTCACGTGGAAGTGTGCGCGGACTCTGACTGAGGTGATAGAAATTATGAGGACCAGTAGCTTGTGGAATGACTCATAACGGTCTTCAATGGTGCAAATGAATTCGCTCAATATTGACTTCCAAATTCATTAAGTTTTCAGTATCCTCCCCGTCATTACTCTTACTCCCACACATTTCTGCGCATTTCGATTCCTGTGCGTTTTTTTCTTTTGTTTCGTCTATTTTTGTGTATATTCATGTGAAATTTGACAACTCCATTGATATCACCAGATATTCCAATGTCCTGTGAAAGTCACGTGAAGTCGGAGTAAAATGTGTGAAATTGCACCAGCTTGTTATTACTTGAAGAGACAAGCATATATATATATATATATATATATATATATATATATATATATATAGTCATTTGCAAGAAATGCTCTGTAATTGAGACTCTCCATCTAGGATATTCGACAGTTCGCGGTTACTCGAACTGTTGTACTTTTCTGCAGAATTCCACTTTGGCATCTCAGTCGGGTGATTGCGGATCCTAAATCGTATGAAATATGATGAACGTATATTATGTATTTTCTTGGTTGGTTGTTCACTTAAAAAAATAACCTGTATTTATTTACTTAGAAAGTCTGTTTTAAGTGTTAAGCTTCGAAATGTTAATCGCACTTCCAATTAACATATACTTTAGTGGCTAAAACCTTTGACGCTTATGTTAATTGTTCCTTGGTAGAGTTTTTCTAAATCACTTAACAATAATTCTAAGTTTACTATGGCTTTATTTCTAGCATCACTTACATTATTGAGAATCAATGCTTGTTGTGGTCTACACCTCTGCTTTTCATCAAACAGGGTGAATAAACACTTTAACAGGATAAAATTAGTCCATATTTTTGTTATTTTATCAGCTCTACTAAAGCCGTTCTCTCATTATATTATTCAAGTTTGTCAAGGAAATGAATTGAGTGAAGTTATATAAATAGAGGTGCTACGCTGAGGTAAATATCAGTTTAATTATAAAATGTTTTAATTTATGCCTTAAAAACAAATTTATCATTTTAACGTGTTCGCTTTGACTATTGATCCCTGCACTAGCACATAGATAATTTAACAACTATTTATTCTATGAAAATAATGACAAAAAGCCCAAGTACGTTTAGATATTGTGTTGTATTCACACTATATTCCGATTGTGAATTCATTTTCATCATCAACTTGCTCCAGAATTAAAGGAATCATCAATTTAACATATCTGTGGAATATACTCGTAACCCCCTGATGTGTGTATAGATTTCTGACCTTGGTAACCATCACTACGGTGACCAAAAAAGATTTTTCGCAACAAAATTTATTCATTTTCTTTGTTTATTTCACGTTGGATCAATATTTATAGGACTATCTACGGTTTACTTGTAGATTACTTAACATACATTGAATTTCACAGCATATTTTAAGGGTTTGATAAACTCCAAGTATGGACTGTCTTTACTTAGTCGACTATGGCTAATTTCTTCATGTCATAGTTATCTGTCAGTTTCCTTGATTTTAACACATATAGCTTCAATGAAGTTAACGAATCCTTAGTAGAACCAAATGTTTTATCTAGCTTTGGAGTACTTATAAAAACCTCGCATAGAATTCATATATGGCATTCGAATTTTGTGCGTTGGTGGTTTAGTGGTAGAATGCTCGCCAACCACGCACGTGGTCCAGGTTCGATTCCTGACCACCAGCACACTTCTAAGCATTGCTTAGCCCGGTATTAAGTCTGGTAAAGAGGAAAGGTTGGTTGTGAAGAGGCTAGCAACCGCAAGCTTCAAAAAAAGCCCTATTCCTACTGAAATTTCGTAGAGCAAGCTTATGGCTCAATCGAAACACAAAAGGAGTGAAAATAAGTCGTATATTGTAGAGTGCTCAAGTATTATTCAGTTCTTATGATGCCTAAAATCAATTATTGGTGAATTCTGCTTATATATGCATACTGATCACTTTTCTTTCAAATCTGCTTTTTTTCTTATTTTGTTGTGATATCTAGGAAAATTTCCGTATTCATGTGATCCTATTAACTGACCTCATCATTATAATAATAAAACAACTGCTGCAAAAGTCTTCATTGCTGCATTCAGTAATTTTCACCTTATTCAATGAATGAGTCCCAGTAACTTTGTTGCTCACTAATAACTCTTATAGTTAAAACTGTTTTTGCGAGTTGATCACGGACTGATATCAGTTACAGAACCATAGAAAACCAGGGAGTACTGGAGAGCTGTTTCATCCTAGTTTGGGAATCATCGGCAGTACGCACCCACTAGGATTCGAACCCAGGACCTTCCGGTTACAAGGCAAGCTCGTATACCACTGGGACCCGATTCAATGGCCCATGAATTCCACGACTAACCCTTACAAACTAAACTATAGAAAATTAATCTGATGCTCACTAGTGACTTGCTACAGGATGGAGTTACCTGGAGTTCTAGTGAGAAGTCGTGACCAGTGAGGTTCAACCAGATGTCACGTGTGAGAATGGATGTCCCACCAACGACATTGGTTGGGGTCGCGCTTAATCACGAATTGGTAGAAGTTAGAATTCATGAGCCATTGAATCGGGTCCCAGTGGTATACGAGCTTGCCTTGTAACCGGAAGGTCCTGGGTTCGAATCCTAGTGGGTGCGTACTGCCGATGATTCCCAAACTAGGATGAAACAGCTCTCCAGTACTCCCTGGTTTTCTACGGTTCTCTAACTGATATCAATCTGTGAACAACTCGTAAAAACATAACTAACCCTTACAAACCAAACCGTAGAAAGTTAAAACTGTGTTTATTATTGTGGTTGAAAGTAGAATTGTATCACACCTATGTAACAATTCATCATCTGTTGATATGCTAAAGCTGAATCCTATACTGAGTACCCTTCATTAAACTCTATAAATCAAACTGATAACTGTGCAAAAAATAGCCTGGAGGCCCTTCACTACATTTTCAAGGTTTTAAAATATATGCTGTATGTACATAATTTATTTACACAAGACAGGTGTATAAGGGTCATCATAAGTAAAACATCTGACTCTGTATCTTGACTAACTCAGTTAATTTGTTAAAAGATGTAACTTCGTTCACCCATTGCTAATATGAAATACTTAGCATACAAATACACAACAGAATTATCTACCAATTATTTGTGTACATAAGCACAAATAAAAATAACCACGTTTGTGAACAAACTAATTGTTTTTATCTTTTGTTTTTTATTGTCATCGCAAGACAGTCGACATCAGTTAGTGTTAATTACTTAGTACTCGAACTGAGAGAATATATATATATATAACAGAAATGGATTATTTGACCTGGCTCCTTA